ACCCCCTCATCCAGCTTGTTTCCTCTACCAGAGGCCTGTGAGCTTGAGAGTTCTGAGCAGTATCTTTGCTGTTCCTAGTACTGCACTTTTCTGGACTGAGATGTCTGTTGTTTTTCCTGGTATTTACTGTAGCCATTCCTCCAGTTTGGGGGTTACAGCCCTGAGTGCTCTAATCACCACGGGCACCACTGATGCCTTCATCTTCCAGGCCTTCTCCAGCTCTTCCTTGAGCCCCTGGTATTTCTCTAGTTTCTCATGTTCCTTTTTCCTGATATTACCATCACTTGGAATTGCAACATCCACCACCACAGCTTTGTTCTGTTGCTTATCCACCACCACTATGTCTGGATGGTTTGCCATCACCCTTCTGTCAGTCTGTAGCTGGAAGTTCCACAGGACCTTAGCTCGGTCAATAAATAAATAAATAAATAAATAATTAAATAAATAAATATATACAATTGCTACTGAAAAACTATTAAGCTGCTCGACTCTTCACAGAGCAGCGGGCTCATTTGTATAACAGTATGTGGAAGTCTGACTAAAAGAATACGTAGGAAGAAAACCCAAACTTCACGTATGTAGAAACATATTGGGATTTTAAAAACCCTCCATATGCATTCCAGAAGGTAGAGATCACACCAGAAGCAGAAATCTGTGCACATAATTTCACCTCATACCACGCCTCCTTTAACACCCCCATTTCACCATAACAGGACAATCAAAGTGAATCTGAATGAGATTATCGTTGATTGACACACGGAGATACAGAGGGAGGGGTCAATGGAGACACTACAGCAGAGAACACAGGCTTGTGAACTCAGCTTCTCTTACCATGAAATGTCATGTACATAACGTTTAGACCCCATTTAGTGCATACACACGCTTTTTAAATGCGACAAGTTTGACCTGTAAGTGGTTGCCTCGCCTGCTTGTTTTCATGGTGAGGAATATGTTTTACTGCTATATTATCAAATATTACACGCAAAGCAAGTGAGACAAGCATGTGTCAGACCCACTACGAGAAAAGTTACATGGTACACCTTTCAATAGTATGTTTATGAATTAGTGGATTGTTTTGAACACTTGATAATATCACTACTTTTATATATGGTAGCTTTCTGCAATATTATGTCATCTGGTCCTTCTATATAATTTCTAACAAGACCAGACACAGTCAGAATGGGTCCATCTGATACTCCACCAGTGGCAACTTTTAAATTAGATTTTGTCCGACGTGCGAGCACTGATAAGCAGGTCTCAGTGTCCAATGAATTATTTACCAAGTCTGAAGTTCTATTAACAGCATCATCAAAGCAACTTGTTTTTGGGACAGTTCGTTGTTTTTTTCCTATTTCTTTTTATTTCAGCATCAACTGTGCTAGTTTTCTGTTTTCTTAATAAAGCTTTTTGGCTTTGAAAGAGAAAGATAAACTGGCCTGGGTGACAAATTCAAGACAGCTTCAAACAGCCGCCGGCAGACTAATTTGGGGAAGATGTTCTCAAGGAAAAGCACTTTTTAATGACTGCAAGGCTACTGCATATTGCTACGTTGCTACTACTACTAAGACAAAAAATACTCGGTTTGTACTACATAGATCAGCCCCAAGGAAGACTGTAGGTAGATTGTGTCATGATGTGAAATTAAATCCATTAGTCAGTTAGTACTTCTAGTAGTAGTAAATAGCAAGATTAAACATGCTGTAGGTTATTAAAAATGTGAAAAACAGAACTAGTTTATTTTAAATGGCTTGCAGGAGAGCCAAGTTATCCCTCACTTACCTTATGCATTCTGAACATACTAATTAGTCGCTTAGTGCTTTTCACAACTCTGAGAAAACAGTGTAGAGTTATGCTGTGATGGTAAAACTAACTACACACTTCCTGCTTATAGGACAATAAAATGCTTTCTAATTAGATGCAGGCAGTACTATTTTGACCTCATGAGCTGCTTATACTGCTGCAAGATGTATTTTGCTCAAATACAGGGAAACAATTGGGCCTTTCAAAAGAGAATTTCTTCACTGACGGCAAGTGACCATAGGACTTGCACTAGAATTATCCCTTTAATGGACCATAACTAACTCAATACTGTTATAATTTATGACAGATTACCATGTCTCCACATCTGTCCTTTTGTTTGTGGCTCAACCCAAAACTTGACATTCCAAAATGTTTGTCCCTCATTCTGGTCCCTGTTCACCGGTCCATAGGGAAATCATTGCATCGGGCCTCCTACATATGCATGCGATTAATTATGTGTCTTGTTATCATGGGCTAATCTGCATAGGACTTTCATAAAAAATCCCTCTTATTGCGATTCAGGAGAGGCGGCTCACAGGTGTGCTGAGTAAATATACAACAGGCTGGAGCTCATCAAAACAAGAGCTACACACAAGAAAAGCTAGGTCCACACACACACAAACGCACACACAGGCACACACACGCTTCTTGATGACAATACATTGATTTACATTCATGTTCTGAAGACTGACCCTAACCTCAACCATAGTCACTACTTGCCTCACTTTAAATGGTAAATGGTCACTTTTAATATGGTGCTTGTCCACCTTCCAGGCACTCAGAGCGCTTTATATCAAGGAATCACTCACTCACTTACTCTCTCACCAGTGTACGCAGTGTATGCAGACACTGGGGGCAAGGTGGGTTAAGTGTCTTTCCCAAGGACAGAGCAACTGCATTTGACGCACCTGTGGGTCAGCGGATCTGAACACTCAGCCAATGGTGTTTATGTTGAGAGTGGGATTCGAAATTCATACCTTTGTATTAATGAAGAAACACTACCAACTGAGCAACTACCGCCCCTTAACCTAAACCCTAACCTTAATCTTTTTAACTTCATATGTGAACTTTAAAGCTACCATCTATAATTGAGACTGGCTGACCTGCCCCTGTTATATTCTCATATATCATCATTAGATGCTATCTACACTACTGCTGTCTGATAGTGTGCTAGCTTTGGCCAGAGTGAAGATAACTGAGCACAGCCAGGTGAGAGGAGGAGTAAGGAGTAACTGGTTTCACATATGTCAAAATTAAACAAAGATACGGATGGATAGCATGTGTTGATCTAATAATTTATTGTTTACCTGAAATACTAGGCAGGGTCCCATGTTGTGAATATGTATACAGAGGTGCATTACACAACTTTTCTGGTGGAGGGTCTGCTACCTGCTTGACTCCATGGAGATGTTATTGCTTTGCCTGGAATCTTCCATGGTATAACAACAAAGACAAAGAATAACAACCTAACCCTAACCCTCCAGTAGAAAAGTTCCACAGTGCACCTTTAAATCCCAACAAGGTGATAAATACCTGTCCACACACACAGACACACATACTCAGTGCCTTTAGACATGCATATAGATATGTTCAAACAAGGGCAGAACAAGTGTGTGCAGTGAAGTGTATAGGAGACACAGAGAGAGGACACCCACCAAGAGGCAGGCACTTATGCACCCTCCCTGACAGAAGGTCCAGGTTCCCCCTCATACGGGTGCCACTGCAGTCCAAGCCAACTCATTAAGTACACAGCTGGTCATCAAGCTGGGAGCAGGGCCACACCACAGGGAGCCGGGAGAGGGAATTTCACACAATGTTCAAGTTTAAAAAAGAATGTGTGATGTTAATGTATGAAAAGTGAAGTTAAAGGGGTTGAAATATAGCACTAAAGTAAAACACTTTGTCTGTTCTCAGTAAAAGCAGTTCTTAGGGTCAAAATGAGACTGCTGTGTGCTGACTGCTTCTAATTATAGAGTGTATTTATTGTTTATGAACAAGGAAGTAATGCTGATGCCCTGTAATCATGCTAGTTGTTGTTAGATCTACTGTGATGGCAAAATTCCACTCTGGGCTCTAAAAGTGGTGAAACATGTTTATAAACTAATTACTGTGAATAATTAAATGCTACAAACATGTTAGGAGAGGGAGGGATGAGTTTGGACGACTGCAAACTGTTTAAAATAATACTAGTTTTGCCTTCAAGTATTGGCACAGTATTATGAACACAGCACAGTTACAGGGCAACGATTTAAAACGCTCCTTTATACTGTATATATTCCACTATTTTCCACTTCCCAACAGGTTCTACGATGAGGACCTGTTTACAAGTTTTACTTTATAAGAGCGAAAAAGTCATAGCTCGGGAAATGCAAGTTGAAAACATCCAGCAGGCAGGAAGGAAGGAAGCTGTTTTTAAGTCTTGTTCTTAAATTTTCTGTGTGATACAAGTTGAAAAGTCCCCCAGCATCAAAGACATGTTTTTGCTCAAATGCTCAATTTATCCGAAGGGATGCATCTACATACTGTCAGAAAATAATCCAAGATATAAACATAAAGTGGGCCATTTGATTTTACAGGCAAAGAATGTACGACTGTAAGAAGAGTCCTTTTTGACACTGACTAACTTAAGACCAGCGCATTATAATTATAGTAATGTTTCTTTATAATCTAAGGAACAATTGCTTGCAGTGCAGTGATTTGTGAATATATTTATATGTTGATTTTGGAACTGGCACAAATGTAACAAAGTACTGAATGATTATGATTATTTGGTTAATAGATTATTGTCATTAATATAATCGTAAGAGCTAAAAATGAATAATTATGAGAATTTTAGGGAAAGAAAGTTTAAATAAGTTTCCTATCTGGATGGTTATGTAACTTTTTTTCATTCATAAGGTTTTATTTCATAAAGATGGTCACACACTAGAATGGTAATCTATAGACAGAATGAAAGTGAACTAAGGATTTCTGTGTTGTTTGATCGTCATGATGCTGTTTCTTACAATAACACAACAATTTAGTCTGTTTGTAACATTACATATTGTTTGTGTGTTTTGTGTGCATGCTGTCATTAGTGCTTTTGACTTTTTTGTTGTGACTTGTCCATCAGGGCCACTGTACATCTGTTCCACATATACCTTCAACCTTAGAGTCTTCCAGTGATGCCATAATGTTATGTGTGAGTTGTTTGGACTCACCCAGGTTCCATTTGAGTCCAGTGGTGTGCGTTTGGCAGGGCCCTCCGACAGGGATCAGGCTGCACCACTCTCCCTCCAGCCCAGTGTCCACCTCCAGTCTGTGGCTGCCCTGCTGACACCAAACAAACAACCCCAAATGTGTGTGCGGCAATACACAAGCAATACACCTGCTACTGCAACAACAGGTAGACACATAGTAATCAGGGAAAGAATCAAATCTAACCTCGAAATGTTTCCTATTTTGACAGTGTTTTTATTTATTTATGGCAGTTTCAGGACAAAATCACATACAACATGCAGTTAAAAGAAAATATATAGCAAAAAACTTACTTATTATTGACCTATTATAAGGCAAAATGAACCATACACTACAGATTAGCTGCCATATGTATGTATGTATGTTAATTGCTCTATTTGTTCATTTGTCATTTTCAACCAGTCTTCAAATTAAGCATATAGTTGGAGCATTCAGTTTTAAATATAATAATGTAATCACTTCTGAGAAATTTTTAACAGTGTTGGTTGAATTAGTTAAGATACCTGTATAAATTATAATGGGACACTAGTGGCACAAGTTGTTATATGTTATTAATAAAACCAAGATACAGTGTTTCTCCTGATATTTGGTCCTGCACTAAAGCCAAGTGCATTGGCCATAGGACATATGCTGAGCTCTGTGCAAGCTTCAGCTTTCAATTCTGGGAGCATTAAGTTCCTGAATGCCCAGTCTCCACACAATTGTCCTCTATATTGTTCTGTTAAAAGTCAAATCAATCTTTAAAAAATAATTATTACCTAATATTTGTTGCATTTTCCCCACCCTGTATGTTTCTATGTTGTTTGTATCCAGAGCCCTCTCCTGAGAAACGCCACTTGTTCGGCGAGGGACCAAGACTCATTACATTAAATTATTGCTGTTGTCAAGCTGCCACCCTATTCCCCGTGCCGCAGACTTAAAGAGCACACCTCGCCATTTTGAATCATCCTCTATTTTTACACAATGCAAAAGTCAAAGGAGTTTTGTACTGACATCCTGTTAAGTGTAGGAGCAGTGGCTGAAAGTGGTGCCCTCAGTATTACCGAGCGGTGTAAATAATGTATTTTAAGAGCGTATAAAGTAACTATAGATGCGGGGGTACATTTTATATAAGTGTCAGAAAGTCTTCGCCACAGCAACTGACGTGCAAAGCTGATGTTGTGAAGAGCACTACAGAGGAAATAAATATGAACAGGTTTTCAAAATGTCATGGCATCCCTTTGAGAAAGCGGGACAAGGGGAAAACAGGTGCATTATACATAGTAAAGGTGCAAGGCAGAGTCAGACTCCACAGGCTCAATAATAGATCTGCTCTCAATACAGTGGGTCAATACAAACCAGTGCTGGCACACACAAAGGTCAAGACTGCTTCTCAGGGAGTGAACCTGCTGTCTGGATTTTTTATTGAAATGTACATCCTTTTTTGTTTCTTTTTTGTTTCATCCTATGACTTAAGGGAAAGTGCACCATGTAACTTTTCTCTCTTGTTTCTATGGATATGTTTGATTTGCTTGAATGTTACAAGGTGCAAGCTACAGGTCAGATCTGTGGAGAGGAGACCCCACATACAGTATGAATGTTTTTGAAGGTATATTTTTAGCAATACAACTACATGTGATAGAATAAACAGAGCAAATAGCTAATTGTTTTAAGCTTGATTAATTGATTAATGACATTATTGACAAGCAAATAATTGTTCCCTGGACTATACACCTGACCCAATATCAGCAAATTTATTTTAAAATGTCATAGTTAATTTTGCTGGAGTAATTATTTCGATTTAATTAATTGGAGTAATTTGGATATTCATTCAGTACATGTTGTATTGAGCCACACCCTCCACATAATAGATTTCACCCATAAACAAAATAAAAATAGAGCAGCTAAATTACAGGTGTTTTTGCACACACATAGACAGGCAGGCACTACTGGGGGTCTTTAAAGAGTGACATCGCTTGAGCTGTGTGTCTTTGCCGGGCAGAGCTGCAGGGGGCGACGGTGGGAAGAGTCAAAGGCTTTGGAGTCTGAGGCGTTGAGGAAACATCCCGAGGTTGTTTTCTATACATAAATCAGACGCTTTGTGAGAGAGCAGCGGTGAGGGAGCAAAGACTGACAGCAAAACAAGAGAGGAGACAAGCCAAAGGAAACAATTAGACACAAGCTGAGAGAGGGAAAAAACATTTAAGAGCAGCTGATCAAAAAATAAAAATGATACTCCAAAAATGTGTCAAATGTCAGATCTCAACACCTGCTACACTAACACAACACAGAGTTTTCTCATAGCTCAAGAATGGTTTAAAAGTTGGGAATTAATAGTATAGTATAGTATCTTTATGGTATGGTATGGTATGGTATAGTATAGATTTATTGATGTGTTGATGAATCTGCCGTTTATTATATTTTATGGATGTGTGTCCCTACTTGCACTGGTGCTCGGTCTGCAAGATAAATATAGTTTTGATTTAATAGTATAGTATAATATAGAATAGTATAATAGGGTATGTGTAATATATACTGCATAGTATTTTTTTTTATAAAGATTTTTTACATCTGATGCCCTTCCTGTTCCAATATCTGGACTTAAGGTTGGTCTAGACTTGCATTGGTGTGTGACCCTCTGTGGCTACATTTTGAAATAAAACATTATGCATAAGCCAAAATTACAGATAAGCAATCAAACTTCTAAGAAGAGACATGTTTTGACAAAAGTTTGATGGCTTTACATACAAAAAAGTAACTACTTTTTCTTAAGTCATTTCTGTTTTTGAAACAACATGAATAAACTTGCAATGTTTCTCCTCTCATCCATTCAGGAAACTATTCTTCTTCTTATGTTAAAAACCACACCAATTCTTTTCCCTGGCATCTCATTCTCTCCTCCCCTTAAATCACTTTCCTTCCTGACAGGTTTCAAACGGGTATCAGGTAAACAAGCTCATAAAGCCTGCGCGTTTCCCCATGATATATAGCGGGGGAATGGGCTGACGCAGCGCTGTGCATTGTCTCATGGAGGAGACGTGCGCAGGTGTCTACAGAGGGCTAGACTAGCACTGTGAATCAGCAACACAGAAGGCAATCATAAACAAAAAGATTAAGTTGGCTTGCACTGTCTCCTGGCTTTGCGTTTCGCCTCAAATTGCGTAAATTTAGCGTCACCTTGGGATTCCGACTGATTAAAACACCTCTGCGCCACGTTGGGACTGGAAATAAACAAGTCTAGAGCCGCTAACAATGTCCCAGCACATAATTTAATAAGAGATATGAGAATTATGCTCAGTTTCAAGACAGGTATAGAAAACACAGCATGCCGTTTTCCCAGGTACCACAGTAACACTTTGACACTTCATCTGGGACGCGCTGGTGCTAAAAACAAACAGCCACAACCCTGATTAAGTCGGGGACATGTCTCCTGTGTGAAAGCAAAAGCTCATTTCCTAAAATAAGCAGGTTTAATGAAGCTGCTCAGGGATGTGATATAGAGGATCGGAATGTCACTTTCACTAAATGGTGCAGACACATCTTCATTTGCAAAAATATGTGGAATTAAAGTCTGATGTACCAGTTTATAAAAGCAAAGTCTGTGTGTATTTTAAAATACAGTGATACATCTAGTGATATCTGACCTGATCTGGTCTAATTAAAACATATTTTGGAGGGAAAAAAAGTTGATGTAACATTTTATTTATCTATTTTTAAAGTCAATCTCTTAAAGGTGCACTATACATACATTTTCTGGTGGAGAATCTACACCTGCTTGACTCCATGGAGGTTTAATGGCCTTTTCTGGAAAGTCCCACAGTATGGCATTAAACATATCTACCTTGCATTATACAATGACATGTTTTTATTTAGGAAAGGCACCTTGACAACCATGCCATTCTTGCTGTGAAGGACCTTGTCTCTCAACGGATATAGGATGTGACTTGGCCTGGTTGCATTTGTTTCCATGGAGATAGCTAAGTTTAATACTGTACTGTGAACAATTGTGGGGGAAAAAAAAATCTCCAAGAAGGCAAGCATCACCAGAGCCTCCACCAGAAAGGTTACATGGAGCACTTTTATGTAATATCCATAAAACCCTTCATTAACTTTTTACTGCTTTGTACTTCTCATTCCAAACCATGCATTTTTATAGGTGTAAAAGCATATAATATAATATAAAAGTGTATAGTTAAAAATGTGAATTGTGGACAGAAAAGATAACCACAAAAATGCATTACAATCTTATTAGGCAGAAAAACATTTAAATTTACAACAAAATATATCAAACCTTCTCCACCTGTTTTTTGTTTACCGTCACTACAAAAAAACTGTATATCATTCTATATTATTCTGTATGTATTGCGTGCTACTCCAAATCCAGAGGCTACGCACGTAACATAGTAGTAATTGCAGAATAGCCGAGGTGAGGAGATTTGGCAAAAGTTGTAAACACTTCAATTACACATGTAACTGGGACAAATAGCAGTGGGCCTCGGGAAGGTTGCAGTCACCTTCATGTACTGGCATGCGCCTACATCTGACACTGGTGAATTGGAGGCGCTCTGACAAATGAGCTTAATTTACCTGCACTCAAGTAAGATTAATTGGAGGTGTCGAGGTATGAAGCAGTAAATGACAAACACGCTGTTGGAATAATGACAAGACATAGGTACAGATAGAGAGGTTTACTTTACGTGCTTCAAGTATAGGGACAAATATGGGTCAGGAGATAATAAAATAGTAATGGATTCGTGTTTCAACAATATTGCAATTTGTGTTTCAGGGTAAAATGGTAAACACTGCCGCCCTTGTAACAGTAAATATTGAATGTGCATTATGTAACTTTTCTGGTGGTCCGGCAACTTGCCTGTGTCCATGGAGATGCTATTGCTATGCCTAGTATGTGCCACATTTCAGGCATAAATGTTGTCAAGCCAAAGATGTTCATTTTGTCTTCTTATATACTTTAACATCTTGGGTTATTTTTAAAGACAATACAGTAAAGTGCATTTACCTTGTTGACATCTTTCGGCTGCTAGCTGCAAGCCATCTTCAGAACTATCACCGGTGTTGGTTGTCATGTTGAGGGCATGGTCAGTCTGAGCGACCTGCCAGGTCCATCAGGCTGACCACGCCTACAGGAAGTAACAACAGCTGATATACGACGCATCACCACCAACACCGGTGACAGTTCTGAAGATGGCTTGCAGCTAGCAGCCGAAAGATGTCAACAAGGTAAATGCACTTTACTGTATTGTCTTTAAAAAGAACTCAAGAAGTTAAAACATAAATGTTGTCCTTCCAACTCTATTTGCCAAATAAACATACATTATGAGCTGAGTAGCCTCTCCACTCATCAGGTTTAATGGCACACTGTGGAAAAAATCTGGGAAAGCAACAGTTTCTCCATGGAGACCAGCAGGTGGCAGAAACTGCATCATAAAAGTTACATAGTGTACTTTTAAGCGATTATGCATGTAATGTAAGTCCTGAGTTATGACACTGTTTAGTCTGGGTTTAGAACATAATTGTACCTAGTACTAGTTTAGTCTTGGTTTTGTACTAGTTTATTCCAGTTAAGTGCTAGTATGGCTTTAGTAGGCCATGGTCCCAGTAGAATTTAATATTTTGTAAGACAAAAATTTTAGGAAAGGTTGCCTTCTCTCTAATAAAACAAATTATCCAATTATGCAAAAGTTAAAAATTTAACAGTCATGCTACCACTGTAATTCTTTTAGTTTTCTCAAATAAACACCACAGGGAACAGTAAATGAGCCGGATGGTGCGGGGTGCCCTGTCCTAAAAGGCTGCTGCTCTCTGCACTTGTACTCCCAATCAACTGAGGCGCATTAGGAAGTAGCCAATGCTGAGGCTAGCTAAAATTGGCTGCATCAAAAGAGACTGGCTCCCCATACTGCTCCATAAAAGCACAAATGTGTGTCTGTTGCTAACACAGCCACTGCAGTTAAAGTAAAAGCAAAGCCCAGAAAAAACATGAGTGAACAGGAAATGTTTTAGGAATGGCATAAAAATAATACATTGTTGTTGGGGTGAATATAGATTTGAAGGATGCATTTGCGAAGCGTCAAATTGAAAAGAAAGTGGCATTACTGTGCATTACTCACGGGTCTGAGAAGAAGAGCCAGGCTTGTTTCGTGGATAATGAAAACTGGGAGAGTTGTCATGTTGAGGGCATGGTGCAAGGTCTCTATAGATGCCATGGTTTGGTCAAGTCTTCCAGTCAGGCCACCCAGGGTCACTATGGCATCAACCTTGAGAAAAAAAATCAAGTTATCAGGAGACGTTCATTAGATTACATTTTTAGCAACAGAGATCATTTTACAAAGAGGATGCACTGATGTGTGTACTTCTGTTTGGAGCAATGATAAACGTCTGTATGTGCATTCACACCAGCATGCACATGTAACTTCTTTGTTTTAGTTTTCACCACTGTTATGCCTCCATGGAGATGTTTTTTTTTCTTTTCTGGAATGTTCAACAGTACAGTAACTTACCGTATTTTTCGCACAATAGGGTGCTCTGGATTAAAAGGCACACTGTCATTGAATGGTCTATTTTCAAACTTTTTTCACAAATAAACGGCATCGGACTTTAAACGAAACACAACAGTTAGATGGGTCAGTCGGACTTTGTTTGGCACGTTCACAGTGACTCTCGGTTCTGTTCAATCGTGGCGTGTAGGGAGGGAGCTGTCTGGGACCGCTGGATTGTTGGCATGTTCGCAGTGACTCAGTTGTTCAGTTGTGGCTAGAAGTGGCACATTACACTCACTTTTTCAGTTCATTCCTCTGTTCAATTCCTCGTCCGCGTGGAGTGATGAGCGTGGCTGCGGGTGTTTTTTGCTGCGCGGTTGCTGTCTGCTCCATGCGTGTTTGCGTGCGCTGCAGCTTTGTACTCATGCTGGGACACCAAAGTGGATTTGTGTATAGGGCGCGCTGGACTGTGGGGCGCACAGTCATTTTTCATGGGGTTGAAGGCTTATGAACGTGCCCTATGGTACGGAAAATACGGTATCTACCTCTATGGTGATGCTACTAGACCAGCTTGTAAGTCAGATGTGTGGATACTCAGCCCTACTTGCAAGATAGATACTATGGAACCAGACAAAGTAATAACATCTCAAGTTGTTAACTCTCAAGCCTTAAATTACACCTTTAATTTAAGGCATTAAACCAAAACATGCATCTGCTCACATTTGGATGATAGAGGAAATGCATAATAACAGATGCTTAGAGTAAATGTCACAGAAAGAAATCTATCTTTAAAATTGACATTTGCATAAAAAAGCGGATTATTTAAACCAACATAATTTCATGTAATTTCAGAGCCAAGTCAAAACCTCTCTGCATTCTGGGGCTACAACAGTTTGGTTAAGCACAAGGCCTTCACCACATTTGTCCCATAACACTGTGAGTGAGCTAACAGCAGAGGAGCAGCACTGACAACACTAAACCCAGTAGAGTCTAGAGGGCAGAGGACCTGTCAGAGCGGCCACATCACAACAGCACCCAAAATACCATCAATCACCCCCACTAGGCACTCTCTACACTAATGCAGACAGCTGACGAATTAGGAAAAACAACACCGAGCCCCCCGGGACAGCTGTAATGTGCCCTGGCATTGATTCGACAACTGAGTGAACTTACAAATAAGACTTTAAAGGAACAACCACAAAATGCTGGAATAGTTAGTATTTGAATGTTGTTTTGAATTACAGCAGTTGGCAGAACTTCACAACGACATCAGTGAATAAAGGAAATTGTGGAAAGGTTTTCTGAAAGTTTCCAACCGATCAAGAGAACAAAGTATGAAACCTTAAGATCGTCTGCCCCCATTATTGGATGAGAGGAACAGTCTTTCTTCAGCATATCAACTGAAGCTGCTTTCTGGAAGTCTTTCAGAGTTGAGTTTGTAGGTTCCCCCACTTCCTACAGTTCCCCAGCAACCAGACAGGTGCACAATTGATATTTTCCTGCTGGTGGCGTTCTGCCTGTATGCCTACGGTGGAATGTGCAGCAGTTATCATGGAGACACAATGCACACATTAGCAAACATTGCTGAAAAAAAAAAAAAAATAAACAAAATGGATTTAAACAACTTTTTTTTTTTTCTATTTTGTGACTGTAATGTTATTTGAGAGGAACATTAACAGCCCATATCAGCTCACCTGTTGTAGTTTCAGCTAAATCATTTTTTTTCTGGTTAGACAGTGTTAAAATAAAGCTCAGATTAAAGTTTAACATGAGTAACTGAACTTCAAACACAGCAGTGCCTATGTTAGCATCACACCCCCAGGGAAAGTTGAAGACATTGTCTGCAAAGTATTTATAGGCTAATCCTGCTGGTAGATAATCCTGAACAACCCAGCACGAGATCTGGAGATGATTCTCAAGGTGCTGTACTGTGACGCCCACTGCTCCTCCTCTGAAAAATAGGAAGAGTTCATTAAAGTAAAATGATTTTTGTAGATGCGGATAAATCCAAGAACAAAAATGATAAAACAAACTGAAGAACTCAAATAATTTCATTTGAACAGGTAAAAAAGAGCACTCTAAATAATCATCTCTTACTGATGTGACTAAAGCTCCATGAAGAACATTTAAGAGCATTCACTGCAGAGGTCATACACTTAAGCAAAACAAGCCCTGACAAATCCAATGTATGCAACATTGCACCTAATGTCCATTTTCATGCATTGCCTTTGAGCTGAGTGTTTTGTGTGAAAATGTCAAAAGACGGCTGTGGCTGACAGTCCGATCACGCCCCACATGCATGCCCAGTCACTTGGAAAAGATTTGTTCTTTTATTTGTCCTTAAATATCAAACTAGTGCACAGGACATCGAATGTGTGGTTAAAACAACAATACCCCCATGGCAACAGTAGTTGGCTGCTGTTGTGGCAGCCTGGCTGACTTTTTTCAGGTCAGTTTTTAACACCATATCATCAGATTTTATCCAACTAAGATGTGCAGCACATGCAGGTCAAAGGACACAAGTAAGGGACTGTTGGATTTTGTGAAATTAGCTATTTGGTTTTCCCGTATCTATCGAGAATGTGCAAGAGCCTAGCTAAGGAGCTACTGTAGCACTGGACCTTTGAGATGCTACAGGCTTTTTACACCATATGTGGCTTCTTAAACCAAATGTGGCAGTAAATGTGGCAGAAGACACTCCAGAGGAAATACTTTGAGGGAATGGCCCATTTCATCACAACACAACAACAGAACGAAGCGAGAGTGAAGCTTGGGAGAGGCTTTCATATTGTCTTCACCTGGTTTACCCTGGACGCTGCTGTGATGCTGCAGGACACAAAGGAGGGACACTTTTGTCTGTGGGGCTGTTCTTCTACTCAAACTGCCCTGGCACAGGATCTGCTGACCCAGGCCGACCGGTCCTCCAGTTAAACTACAACGAGACCTTTGAAACAAAGGTGACTGAGAAGTGCAGTACTGTACGCTAAACTTAGGATCGATAAAGTAAATAAATAAAGCATATATCTATCTCCATAAATCTATACAAGTGTCACATTGTAATTTTGAATGCGGAAAAACTAAATGTCACTAAAACTTTAATGTTTTACAAGGACCCATCAGTCAGTTAGAAGAGAGCAGGGTCCATTTGGATGTTTACTAATCAATCCACCAGTGGGCTCCATCTATATTAGTCAACTTGGACCCACCCTTTTGCCATAGAACATTACAAACAACATAACCATAATTCATTATCTTTTTTGGACCCTATGGCAGCTCTACATACATGACAAATAATAATATGTCTCTTGCCATCTCACAAATCCATCCTACTCCACTTGACGCAATCAATATGACATAGGAATATAATTAATATCTGATTTCTTGAAATTGTACTTTGATAGATGAGAATGTAATTTACGTAGTATATGCAGGAGATGTTTGCCAATATTATATACAATGCAACTACCGTTGTGTTGATTTCTGTGGTGTGAATAAAAAAATATAAAGTGATAAAGCTTTATTTTAAAAAACTAAAAATCTTTTCTCTTTTCAATACGGAAAGGATAAATGGCTCAACATTTCCAATATTTTGTTGGATTTTTACTCAACATGCAAAAATAACCCACTTTATCCCAACCTTACATCATCTCTATAGGTTACAGCCCGAAGCCGGAGCCTTAGTGAGAGCGTTATGATCCGTAATCCTTGTCATATCTTCTGTCCACATGTGCTCTGAGAGGAAATCTGCACTACGCAAAATCTAGAGCCAAACAATGATTTGGAGTTTGCCATGGATAATAGCCTTGTCAGAATCCTGTCTGTCCAATCAGATGCTATGACAGGAGCAAAGCTAGTACAAAAAGAAATGATGAAAAAAGGGAAGATCAAATACAAAGAAAAGGCTGGAGATTGTGTGTCAGATTCAAAGTCACAACAAGTCCCCCCAAAAAACTCTATAAAGAAGAACAACACGTAGCAGTGGCTATGAGGAAATTTGTTCAAAGTCATGCTGTACCCCAATTATTTTTATTGTCTTGTTGCACTTATAAATATTTAATTTCTCTTTTGAGCTCCAAGTTGGGCTAGGTTGTAGATCAGCCAAAATAGTATGGTTACTTACTTCACACACTACAGGATAATTTGTTCAATTTAGGACCTGATTTTCTTTTCTTTGTGTTTGGTGCCAGTGCTTCATATTGTATCCACAAAACAGCACCATCACTGCACCAGCCAAAAAAACTCCATCAGGGGCAGACAGAGTGATGGACACAGAGGCATAAGATACAAACTGAAATTGCAAAAATAATGTTGTGACTTTATTATTCACTTCTGGTAAAGTTGTAAACTTAAACTCATCCATATTATCCATTAGAATATGTCCCTTGCAAATAATGACACCTGGTTTACAAAACAAAATGAATCCAGTTTTAAGTGTCCTTTAAAAGTAATAAGGTAAGAGTAGAAGTAGAGTAAAAAATGTTTTTAAAAATGGGACACTACTCGAATAAGAGAGAAACTGTCTGGACATAACTTCTAATTAACAATTTTAAAGTAATGTGATTGGTGGGGCAAAACATTAAAATAATGCATTAAATCTGGTATTTAACTATAGAAGAGAAACTAAATGAGACAGAAATGCAAAAAATTAAATCATATCTGAAGGAGAGCAACACACAAACACAAATGTTCAAAATCATTTCACATTGTCAATATAAAGCTTTTGGAAATTATAAAGTTACTCTAAATGGGCGAAGAATCCCAACCTTTTGCTCAAGTAAGAGTACAGACAAATCTACTCAAGCATAAGACATTTTCAAGTTTTACGTAAATGTACTTCTGCTTTTAGACACTCTGTAGCTACGTTTTGATGCAATCTTTTTTTTTTTTTATCGTTTCTCATTTTGTGTAGATCTGTAACAGGCCTGGTGTAAACTGTGACAGGAGTGGCTTTGAATCCGCTCCTAGAACCACCTCGATCACATTAAACATACTTATACAGTCAAAGTGTGTGAAAGACCGAATCACAGTTTGTGTTGTTGGTGTAGGCACAGACTGTGGGGGTGGATAGCTCTTGTTGTATTTTCATATAAACCCTATGGATCATATTTGTTTTCTCAATAAGCTGAGCACGGCAAATTACATGGCTTGGTTCAGAAAATTTAACAAGCTGGCTCCAATGATCAAGTCCACACACTAGTTCGTGATTGGCCAGGGGAGCATAGCTGGCTCTGAGATCACAACACAAAAGCCTGTCCTATTATTGAGCCTGATGAACAGATAACAAAGGAAAAGCAAAATGAAAACTGTGCTTCTGCTACAGTGAAAGGATGACACAACCTAACTAGAGCAGATACACACAGCAGGTGCACCCAATACAAATGTATATAGAAATACACAAAATCATGACGTCAAACTAAAACAAGAATCGCACAAGGAAATACATACATTTCCATGAACGTACACAAATAAGCGACCAGACGCCCACTCTAATCCTCCCAAGCCATTCTTCAGGATTTTAAACCAACAAACAGAGATAAATTCCCCAAATCAAGAGCTAAGCTGTGTGAAGGAAAACATTCAAGGACTAATATGATGAATGTTAAACAGCCTGCACGGCACAAAGGGACGCAAATCTGCAAATCACCCTTTTATTATTGGCACTGCACTCTCTCTTTCATTCAAAAAGAAAATTACAAAAAATATTTATAAAAGAGATGGCAAGGCTTCCAATAATCACTAAAGTTTTTCATACAGGAGATTAAGGGAGCAGAAGTTGGGGGATCCGCCAGGTCAAAAAGTAGGAAAATCCAGTGAGGAGCCAGGAAAAGATCATTATACTTAAGAATGGCAGTAACAAGTCATAGTTGAGCTCGTATCTCTCACATGCAGACACACAGGAGTAAATATTCGTCAGGTTGAGATAACAGCAAACAAAGTATGGCATTGCAAAAGTACAGGAAGTAAAAAACAGCTAATCTGGCAACATACAAAATGAAGTGTGTATTTGTGTGTCTTCTTCATGGTCTTTCATCAGCTTTGAGATGTGTGATTCAAGTGATTGGGGCACTCAGTGCTGATTGGAGCAACACTCAGCACGCCGCTCAGAAAGTCTAATAATGGAGAGAATAAAAAGAGGAAGAGGATACAGAGAGATTGACAGATATACACTGCTGAACTCAAGCAAAATCATATATCTGTATTATGCCTTTATGAGCTTTTCAAACTATCGCCAGATTTGGTATTTTCAACAGACAAACTTAAAATAATGTTTGCATCCTCAGTTGGCCTGACATTTTTCTTACAAAACTGCAGCAGAAGGTGCTAGAATGGCATTTTTATTCTGAAAAGTGAATAAGGGTATATACAGTAAGTCAGGTTCTAGCCTGCTGAATAGTCAAAAAGAGTCAAAAATGCTAAACTGTGCAATGAAGGCAATTAGGACAATATGTCTACCTAAGGTGGATCGACACAACCTAACATGGTAAAAAGACAGTTTAATATAGGTCCTTAAATGGTATTTGGGAAACTGCAGGAAGCAAATAGAAACAATAGGTCTTGATGTAGATTTGGAAAACCCTAGCTGACATTTTGTTAGTAAAAATGGAGGATGGAGTCAATCTCCGTGGGGGGGGGGGGGGGGGGGACCGGTGTGTATCTGGCTAAGCATAAGGATTTGCAATGGTACACTGCTCATTTTTGCATTTTTGCAGGTTGTTAAATAAAATGTTAAACTTAAAAAAATAGCACAACAAATGGTATAATGTTTGTAAAGGGTGGGGAAATAAGAAGTTAGAGGTTGTGTGTTTTGAGAGGGCGTTTAAGAGGGCATAGTTTTACATTTCTTAAGGGGAAGTGTGAGCGAGAAAGCAGGTTGTTTCTGTTTTATTTTTCATTTTTATTTATTTTTTTCCCAGAAGCCTGTTTTTCTACATGCACACACCCACACAAGCTTCCACCTGGGATTTGCAGAGTCCAACACTATTGACCTTTGCCAGCCTCAGCTTAAGTATCTGACAACTGAATGCCTTGCTTACGGGCATTAAAACTCTCAGAAGCTGAAGGAAAAATAACCAGCACTGTATAAAGAGTAAGTCAGTGCATACAATAAAAATGTCAGGCTTGAGTTATGAGGAGATAATGGCGTATGTGTTGGTGCCTGTTTACCTGCAACTGCTGCTGCCGGATCTGCTCCAGCATTATGGACAAACATTTGGTGAAGTCAGTGAAATCCTGATCAGCAGTTTCCAGGAGCTTGCATCCCTGTAAACACACAGAGCAAACAAAATGAGACATATGCTGTAGCTCCAAAAACTGCAGGATTTCTAGTGCAAAAAAAAAAAAAAAAAGCATACTAAGAAAATCAAAATGGAGTCTTAGAATGAAATTTCTGGAAATACTTCATGGTGCCCTATGCAACTTCTTGGTTCGAGGTCCGTCACCTGCTTGCAACTTGGTCTGGTTTGGTCTCCATGAAGATAGAAAGATTTAATACCATACTGTGAAACATTCCAGCAATAACATCTCCATGGAGAAAGGCATTTAATAGAGTCTTTACCAGATATGTTACACAATGCATCTAAAAAAAAAAATTGCATTTGGTTCCCATTTAGAAATATGATTGGCCAATACAACTTCAATCACTACTCATCACAGCTTAACCTGTAACCTGTACAAAGTGTTATTTAATGGTATCGCTTTGTCATCCCCGTTTTAAAAGCCACTGTAGATTAAAAGTGGCTTTGTTCCATGTTTTAATGGGTAGATGAAGCACCCACACATTTCAGACCCAAATTTAATGAATTGTTTTTGTTTTGTTTTTCAATTACATCATTATGGAATAGATTGGAGAGATCATTTTAATTATTGCACAGCCTCAGAAGCCTTAACAGAGTCATTAACTTGCATTTGCTCTGAAAAGTAATCCACATAAACTTAATATGTTATGATACCGTCTGAAAATACCTGCTATAAAATTGTCACAAAATACCTCATCACAAATTGCCTCTTTATATAGAACTGTCCTAGTGCTGATGAAAGAGGGTGTTAGAAGAAAGCAGATAAAAGCAATGCACAGAAGTATAAATCTGTTTGGTGTGTGTCTGGGAGTTGTGTTGCTGAATAATGTAGAGGTTCCAGTCCGTGGCCCTAAACTACAGAATCCAGGTAAACAAGAATGCTTCGGATTTTCTTCACTCTGTCACTTTTTTTCCCATTGACGCACACATTTCTGTAACACACACACAGAGACGCACGCACACACACACACACACCCGCCCCCCCCACACACAGCAGCAGCACAGCCTGTCCACGCTTGTCTGCTGTGCTCTGTTTGATCCCATCTTCATCTTCCTCCTCCTCCCTGGCGGATGGCTTCTCTGTTCTCACCATTTATGCAGAATTATGCACCGTTTCTGTCAAATCTCAGAAGGAACGCCTCAAACTTTCCATTGTTCTGCTTCCTAAGTCATTACCATAACACTGTGTTCTTATAAGAAGGCAACCTCCATGATATCTGAGGGACGAGGAGGAATACATACAAGTGTAAAAGCACAAAGTGAACAGGCAAAGCAGAGGAATTACAGCTCTAGGCATCATCTGTTTATTATCTGTTATTCTCTTAGCTTCAATCCTAGCCTGTACAACTATATATTAAATACACACATTCAGTATGTGTGTAGTTGATGTAAAATATTCTCTAACCTGGCTGGTCTGGTTGGTCAAAGCATCACAACAGGGAAACAACCCAAAAAACATTTATTACACTCAGTTGAGAGCACAGACATCTTCCCTGTTCACAAATGCACAAAGTGTTTACCTTGTGCACATTTTTCACAAATAAAATAGATCATATTTTTGCTACAATACATTGATGTACATCTGTCAGTGTCGCCATGTTTGTTTTGGTTCACCTTTTGCTTACGCACAAACCATAGTGCTGCTCTGTCATTGATCCACCAACTGCTGGGCGTATTTGAACCTTACAGCGAGAGTGTCTCAAGAATCCATCTTTCTGTGCAAGGTTAATGTTACGCAGTCCACCTTTGAATATTGTCTTGCTTAATCAAAACCATTTGACAGGGTAAGCAATATAGAGTACATAACTAAATGCTTGACTTTGCTACAGTATGAAACAATAATAATACTTCTACTGATTTGAATTCATTACCCAAAAGGACATTATAATTACACACTATTCAGTTGAGAGTTCTGGTATCTTCTAAAAGTCTTACCCCATTATTTATTATCATGATCTTGACACTCTCTCATTCGGCTTAAAAATAGGGAAATGTTGTTCATTACATACTGATTACTTTTTCTGCCCTACTTCAAATTACACCAGGTTATACAAGTAATTGATTGTAATTGAACTGGACCAAAGGCAGTGTTTGACTGTGTGACTTTAAATACAGTGTGTCAAGAGTGTAACGAGTGGCCCCATTTTGCAGCCTCTTTGATGGTTCAGCAATGTGTTCTTATCCCGGCAGGAGCAACTTCTGAAGACTCTCAAATATGAAAGCCATTTAACCTGAGTCATTTTGGATGGTCACTTATCCACTTAGACAGCCTGATATCAGCTTCGTCACCCTACCACGTCTCTCCAGCAAAGAAAGTCAGGCCTTTTCAAAGGCTCAAGCTGAGATGATAGAAGACAGTGTGAGTGAGGTACCAGTGAAGTTGTATAAGAACTTTAAGGTGTTTTTAAAGGATCAGCAAGTACAAAATACAAGGTAACATGAGTTTGTTTGGTATATAAAGTCATAGTGATTGAGTTTATAATGTAATTTGTAACTATTAAAAAAGATGGCCTTTCTGTCTCAGATCAAGGAAGCTGATTTCAATATCTGAATCAACTGTACATGTCCTTTCAGAGTTACTGATGGCTCTTATGGGCTTTCCCTTCCAGTAAGAAATAAACTAAAATAATAGTTCCTTAAATTAATCAATATTGAATGGGAAAGACAAAAGATTGTGAACTCATAGGAAATCTTTCTATCATCTCTGTCCATTGTGTTTTGAAGTCATGTATTATTTGTTTCTTTGATCGAGACAGTGCATCTTAATTAACATTTATAATATACATGCTGTAAATGCACCAGATTGTAGCCATGGACTGATTTCCAGCTATTGTCCCATATTCACACAAACACCATCTCAATCATACACCGGCGTACATGGACACTGGATTCAAGGTGAAGTTTGTTTCTCTAGGACACAATGGCCGTATGGACTACAGCCACCTGGTATTTCCAGTGGTCTCCTATCCCAGGACTAACCAGGCCCAAACCTGTTTAAACCTCTTTCCCACTGGCACACTTCACTTGGAGCAGGTCTGTTTGGTGCAGCTCCCTCCAGCCCAGGTTGATTCCATGCTCCAGGCTCAGGGGCCAGGGGAAGGGCTCTGCTCCATGAGACAATGACATCACCTAACTTAGCGCATGTTATCATTATATATAAGAAATGTAAATCATATCTAAATTATACTCATAATTATATGGCCGATCTCAGCAATTCACAAAATGATGTTTAGTCATTCCAAGTTTATGTCACTGTGACAAGGCTAAAGCTAGCGTAAACACTAACATTCTTCCTGGTTATTGTCAGCTTTTTCTACACTGACTTCACTTCTCTGCACCTCTGTGCTACACTTTAATGTCTCTTTATGTAATGCAGTGGGCTTGCCTCATGTTAGATACATCATGTGTTCAATATTTATTATCTTTATAATTTTATATTTACATCTCTTTTACATTTCTTTTTTGTCCAATCATCTTGTTAGGTCATTAAACATGCCTGAAGCCATACTGTACCGACCACTGACTCCTCTGAGAGGTAGTACCCTCCAGGGTCTACTTCGGACCCCCAAACGGAGCGGTACGGCTCACTTTAGACTGTGCAGCCTATACCGATATGCTCCAAAGCAAAACAGTGCAAATGAGGCAGTCTCAAGAGGGTATGGCCATATTTGTGGTGCTTGCTCATTCTCAGTATTGACAAACAAGAAGTTTTACTTGCCTAATAAGAGTATGCATGAAGTCATATATTTAAAAGTTTGTAAAGTTTTCCATTGCACTAGATAATAATATAATATATATTTTAGTGGGTTGGTGTGCAAAAGTAAAGCTACTTTTTGCACAACAAGGCATTGGTCCCAGTTGCTATAAACACAGCTAGTTAGACTGTGAGAGTTTTAGGATTTAGAACGGGGCATTTTAAATTAACCACCTGGGTTTCGTAAGATTTAAAATATTTCCTGTCTGGTCTGTGAAAGCTGCAAATTACAAAGAATATCAGAGTGTGTCTTGAGCTTACCTTGTCTGCATAGAAAGCTTTCACTTCTGCCGTAATAGAATCAAAATCCCCACTGATATAGTCGGGCAGGAAGCTGTAGGCAAGGACACAAGGAGAGCGGATGAGTGACAGAGGGAGAGGGTTAAGACCGCTGGAGTGACATGGAGACACAAAGTGCACAGCAGAGATAAAGGCTGTAGGGGCTAGGGGACATCAGGGCCTATAGGGGACACTGAATAGGCATGTGACTTTTCTGATCCGTACAGAGGCAGGACAGGAGAGATCTAACCAGGGGGAAAGCACTGGAACTTGGTCAGATATGGGGTGCTGTCACATGCACACAAAATATAACTCATGGTTGTGAATTGCTTTCATATAAGGCATTGCAATATTAGAGTTGTCAAAAATAGGATACCCTGATACTACAACTAGTATATAAAAGAGATAGATCTTGAGAGCAGTATACAATGGTAATATTATTATTTTGTGCTAAAAAAATCACATTCGACTTCTCTTTTTTCAATATTATCGCAATATCTCTCTGTAGCAATATATCGTGCTACAAAATAAGTAATTGTGACAGACCTAGGTATATGCTTTACCCACCAAAATTCATTGCATTATAATAAAGAAGTTTGCTTGATCCTATTTGATTCAATTTTTTTTTTTTTACCTGAATTTGTTCTGCCCCTTGAGCTATAGTGCCAGCCTATTGTAATGATCATAAACAATTAATTTTCCAGCCCAACTAAATAAACAGTGTACAGTTTCCATCCAATATTGACCATTTCATTAGTTCAGTAAATATGAGTATTTGTTTATTTACTGCAGGTCAGGTACAGGTACACAATTACAAATTAGAGGTGTACTGAGAGGATGCAATTAATTCCTGTGTTAGAGTGGCTGTTCTTACAAGAGTTCAAGTGGGGGTAAGAAAAAAAAGAAAAAAAAATTATTTAAGAAAGCATTATGTAGTATAATTGTTGGAAAAGATGCAATTAAAGGTTGTGACATGCATAACAGATATTACAATACGCCGCTGTGCTTGCTAGATGAATAATAGGTGTTTTTTTCATGGATCACTTGGCCTTGAGTCTGAGTTTGTCTCTGTAAACACTCACCCAGCCACCCATATCACTAGTGCCTTCATTTAAATGTGAAAGGAATATCACAATCATGTTAGTGACAGAGACTTATTATCATGTAAATCAGGTCACGTAGAAGGGCAAACCTTTTGACTGTATCTATAGACTTAAATTAGAATCTGGATAGGTCCAGTTACAACAATTAGAACAAAAAGGTCAACATAAGCAGGACAAAATTATCAAATTACCTTTTTCACAATATACATTATTAATTAATATTATTTAAAAATTTACATTTGTGTATTTTTATGTTTTTGAAAACAATATTCAGATGACAGTATGGCAATTGATCAGAATTTTGCCAATATATGTCTATTGGATGAGGTTAAGTATCAAACAAAACATGACTGGATGTTTCAGATGTTTCCAGCTGTTTTAAAACATTTTAGACAAAACATTACTGTATACTTTATATGCTAATGCATAACTATAAAAATCTGTCTTTCAGTATATATCTCTAAGGCAGTAATTTTGCTTTTTATATTGCCTATATATCGCCTTTTTGAACTTCACACAGAAACCTGAAGTTTGTAACTCAAATCTATACTACGCAAAATTGACTCTGAGCTTTAAGACATCATCATCAAAACCATATCAGGAGTTGTGTTTATGTTTCATTCACACATGAGTATAACCCTTTATTATTAGCTCAAAATGCTCTGTTTCACCTTGTGATGCCATGTAGTAATCATTTTCAAGTTAACAGCTACATTGTACCTTTAGTTCAGTAAATTATTCTAGTGAAGGTGAAAAAACACAGTGGAGTGTTTTCTGTTTGAGAGAACAATTCAGCCTAAGTATGCAAGGTTTGTGTGGTGAATATGTGTGAATGAAACAAAACACAGTAGGTTTTTGATTATAACAGCTCAGAAAGTAGCGTAATATGGACCTTTTAATTTATCAACTGTACGAAACAATGATAGTAACACTGAATGGCGAAACAAATAAAAATCTAATCAAGTTCTAACTGCAGATTAACGTGATACTGAACTGTGGCTGGTACTTCAGGGGAATTTGAATGAACACATAAAACAGCTAACAGCTTACATTAGCATCCACAGATAGCCTCCTGTTGATCCCATTCATGAGTGTGGGTCTGTGCTGAACTCTGGACCACACCGGGACACAGAGGCTGGTGCTATCTCAAGGCATTAACGGCACTGACATTACGATTTCATGGTTGGCTGCTTTTGTGCGTTTGTTTGTGTGTTTTATTGTATGTGTTTGCGTGTATGTGGGTGTGAGTGAGAGAGAGTGTACATTTGTATGTTTTCCAAGCAAGAAGTGATGTTACGGTCGGTTGAAGAAAGAGATACAGAAGGATTATTCCCTGGCTTCTCCAGCTCACCTTCCAAATCAGCACCTACACCGGCGAAATACAAAAGACTAACAGATCATCAATGGAGGCTAAGCAAACACATTCCTGAACACAAAATAAGCTTGGAGACAATAAACAACAGGAAATGTAAAGGTTATCTGGGATCTAAACTTTCTAGACACACTTCTTCAGGGGCTCCCAAAACTGCAGTCAAGAAAGTAGTGTCCAAAAGTTTACTTCAGAGGCAAAATACAAAAAAACAAGAGCTCAAATACACGAATTAAAGGTCCTATATTACACAAAATTGGCTCTTGTGAGCTTTTAGCCATGTTGTTACGTCCTCAGAAACATACCTGGAGTTTTATTTTGTTTTGTTTCATTCACACAGTTTTGTTTTGTTTCATTCACACAGGTTTGAGTCATCCTTTGTTATTAATCTGTCTACATCTCCAAATCTTAAAATGCTGATTCAGCTTGTGATGTCATGAAGCAGTAGTTTTCAAGTTACCGGCTACCTTGTACCTTTTGTTCAGTAGATATTGACATGATCAAAATGGTTCTAGTTAAGTGTATGGAGATTATTACACATTGAATTCCCGCATTACCCTGTATTATCACATGGCATCACAAAGTAGGTGAGTGTTTTAAATTTCAGAGAAAAAGTGACCCTAAATATGCAGCCTAAATTCAGAAATAAGGAAACAACATTATGACATAGATCAGAAAAAACGTAATAAGGGCCCTTTAATATTTACAATGCAGTAAGGTGGTTAGTTGGTAATCAGCACCAAACATTATCAGTAGTATAATTCAAAAGTGTATTATTTGAATTGTAGAATAGATTTGCTTAAATAGTGATATATATGCCCTTGTTTGAGTTTGCACACAAATATATCTTTGCTTCATAAATTCACTCTTGTCGCATTATTCCAACAATTTCCCTCTGGATTGATCCTAAATGTCTACTATGATCAATTTAAAACTCACTTTAATCTATTGCCTCTCCCCTATACCTCCAGTGAATAACATTGTGACAGCAGAAAATAAATACACGTTCCGACTTTGTGTTTAAAAACAAGAATTGACAAAGAAACAAGTTGAGTTTGAAACACAAACTTTTAAATAAACTATACGACCCTTCCAAAGCGTTACACAACTATAACAGAGACACAAACCACTCCTCTTTCATTCCTAAACAGCCTTCATCTGACAGACAGGATGGGACTCTGCTCCGGTGTTATTTGAGCTTAGAAACCCTGCACCCCTGTGACCTGTGTGGACCACTCAATCGGCGCTTGGTAATTGACCGGGTGACTTTGACAATTCTCTGTTTGGGCCTTCTCTAGCGAGCTCTAAACCCTCTTTGCATGTGCATTTGTGTATCAGCGCTGGTGTGTATGTACAAGCCCTGACACTCCTCACTTGCACATTAATATTAACTGACACTTTAATTTGGATGGGAAATAGAGCATTTTACCAGCAGTTTGTCTGAGTGCCGGGCGGCGGTGATGGCGGTGATGGCGGAGCGACCTTTTTGCCAGTGTTTGTGTGCGTTCCTGTAATAGCTTGTGCTGTGCATCCGCTCCTCTCCCCCGCCAATCTCCACCTCTCCATCCCATGCTGGCTTCAATCACTCTGCTCCAATCTGCCTTCATTTAGATTACACTGTGCTTACCTTCCAGCGCCAATTAATACTAAAAAATACCTGTGTTCTATATTAGCTATGACATTAGACTAACCATATAGTGGGTTAATTACAATGAAATAGAGCATTGTTTATGTTTGTTTACAGGTAGCAGTGTTTCATCTTCTACCTGGACGCCAAGAAAGTCTTCCTCCACTCTGGCTTTTCATCAGTGGAGAAACAGCAGTGATTTACATATCCCTGCCTGCACTCCCCAACTCCCCCAAAACTCAAGACTCAAGGCTTATATATTATAGACAAAATGAAATCATGTTATTAATGACTTTTGAAGCACTAAATATTATTGAAATTTTAACATTTCATAAAACATGCATGCACTAACTAATGTTCCAAAATTTCTGCTATGGCTAAGTAGCTCATCTTGCTGTATTAAAATGTTGTCACAATAAAATGGATAACTCAATAACTCTTCAATACAAAGGAAGTATCACCATAGCAACAATAGAAAATGTTCTTTTTTAGACAATAGATGTGATTTTCAACTCAAAATAATAGCGTTTTCTGCTTTACCATTTTGCATTATACTACTTCAGACAAGATTACATTTTGTCCTTTTGTGTAATTTCTCTTCTGCATCAATACAATAATCAAACAAGTTCTAGTTTTGATATCAATTATTATCTGGGTATCAATATTTTTTGACATTCCCTGCTCCCACATGATTTGCAGTTTCAAAATAACTTAAATATTCAAAATATTCTTTAAATGTAAAAGTATGTTGACTATTACACTATAAACATAATTACTATTACGTCACCCATCTTGTCTTATATGTATGTTTGATACTGAGACTAGTTTGCTGAATAACCTTGACATTGTTAGTTTCTGTTTAATTGAGGCTATGATAAGAGAAGTGCCGCACAGGTAGCCAAGCACTCATGGCTAACAAAGAGATTATGATCCCGCTGGCACGCACATGCTAATGA